ACACTGCATGAACAAAAAAAAACGCCATAGAACAGTTTGGGTTGGAAGGCACCTTAAAAATCATCTAGTTCCAACCCCTGTGCTATGGGCTGAGTGAGACACCTTCCAGTACCCAGGCTGGCCTTGAATCCTTCCAGGGATGGGGCATCCACAGAATCTCTGCTAGATAATAAAGCAAAGAACTTCTTGTTTCTAGTTTAATGTAATTGTTGCTGGTATTTCCTCCACTATAGTTTAGAAAAAATGGAATCTATTCTATGTAAACTAATCATACATTTGAAATAAAATTCCCCTGCAATGAAGGTTTGGTCACTTGCATTCTCTTATTCTTCACCCTTAAAAAGACAACAATATTCATGACTTGTGACTTTTGCCTTCTGTAATGTGTATTTTAACTACATTTTCACTTTTTTTTTTCTGCAGTAGCCTTGTATCTCCCTTATTTCACAAAGTTGTGTTACGATTTTAGAGGTGATGGGATTATGTTATTGGAACTCTGAACTGACATCAATGCAGAGCCACAATCTTGTAGATGCAAGAAGTTGTGAACATCCTTTATTTTCCATCTTCTAAGCCTACTAGCCCCACTAATACTGATCCAGGAATGAAGACCAGGAAATCTGAAGTTAGAAGACCTTTTGACAATCTACCCATTGTGCAGCATGTCTCTAAATCTATCTCAGACACTGGTCAGTGTCCCAGACAGGCAGCAGGAACTGCCCTGTAGCAGAATCTGTTTCTTTCCACACGCTTACTACTACAGAGACCCAGGATTGAGCACCTTACATTAGACCTAATCCCACATTTTGTACTACTTGCCAAGGAACACAGAGCCTGTCCCTAACAACAGCAGTTTCAAGTACCAGTTCCTTTTTGGCTGGTTTTCAGATTGTGCAACTGAATAGCACAAAGCTATGTTCAGTGGTCTGCATCCAGGTTAAAAAGCTTTAACCTGCTTACTCCAACTGGTCAGTGACTGGATAGCAGCTCAAAAGCCTTCATTCAGATCCTTGGCAACAAGATTTCAAACAATGACACTGTCTTGAATGCTCTCCTAGTCTGAAAACCTAAAATGTATTAATATCCAAACAATTTTATACAGTAATTTCAAATCAACACAGTTGGGACTTGTGGACTCTTCCACACACACTGCCCTGATGATACAGTTCTGAAACTGTGATCCTAACAGCTGTGATGTCTTAAAATTCAGACTCCTATGCTGTCCCTATTTACCATTCACACATCCCTTTCAGGGAACTGTGACTGAAGAGTGGAGGAGCACCCTTGCCTCCTATTTGAGAACCACAGCAAAACTAAAGATGTTTAACACTACTTGCAATAATCACCAATGGCTGGATAGATTGTTTGTTTGATGTCTTTTGAACAGATGCAAGTGGTGAACCTAACTATTTATTCGTTACTGAGGATACTAATTAAGTGCCTCTCCTTCCCACAGCCCCCAATTTTCAAAAAAACTTGTATGAAATTATCTTTGCATTTGTCAAATGTGACCAAAACAGACTAATGGAAATATTTTTGAAGACCAAAAGTGAGGAAAAAAAACCCCAAAACAAAAACCAAACAAATCAACAAAAAACCCCAAACATACAAAAACAAACCCCCCAAAACAACAAAACCCCCTAAATCCAAAACCAAACAAAAAAACCAAAACACAAGAAAACCAACCCCCACCCTACTGAAACAATACCCCAAAAAACAAAAAAAACCAAACCCCCATCAACCAAAAAAAACCCAAAATAAACAAACAAAAAACTCCAAGGAAACCAAAAACAACAATAACAACAACAAAAAGTCAGAAAACACTTATTTCAATGAGGAATTAATGTTAAAAAACATGCCAGGATGCACAGAAATTAACCCAGCTCCCCTGGAAGCACAAATCCACCTGTGTGAAAACTCACTGACAAAACCTGAATGAAGTCTTCTCTGGTTAACTCAATCAGCACCATTTCTTGTTGTTTATAGTGAGGTTGTTTTAAAATCTACTTTACTTGGCCTTCACACTGTTTCGCCTGAGCCCCACTGAAATTACTGAAAAGAGCATGAGTCTCCCAACAAGCAGTCTGCAGAGCTACAACATGTATCATCTAATTTAAAAATACAATCTACACAAATTCACATCACCAGAGGATGTAAATATAAACTGCAAAAATATCTTAAAGCAAAAAGTGTGTTGATACTAGAGTAAAATGTAAACCCCTCATTTCCACCGTGTTGTAACTCCGAGTTCAAACTCTACCTCACCTATACTTTTATCCCCGCAGAAATCGAACAGCAAAACGCCTTTAACAGCAAGCCTAATTCAATATATCGAGAATGCTTTTTAACTAAGTACAACTCAAACCTACTGTTGTCGCTTATGAACCCTTTAAATACGTATCCACTACAGTTTGAAGTGCTGAAGCACTGAGAACTGAAAGCGAAACTGGCTCGCGGTGCCACAGCCGAGAAACGCAGATAGTAAACAAACAGCATGTGCCTTTTTAAACTTGTCCTGCGCCGTGGCAATTACTCGAAGGTATTACTAGCAGGCAGCAGTGAGAAAGGCGGGGTTCACAGCCGTGGGTGTCCATGGATGCGGTCCCCGCGGCCGCCCCGTTTGTTACGGAGGGCTCCGGGGGTGCCCCATGAGCTGCACACGCAGGCAGGGACAGATGAGCGATGGCGGGTCCGCCGCTCAGGCCAGCTCCCGGCTCCTGCCCGGCCTCCGCGCTGCGGCGGGCCCGACCCCGGTACACTCGCGTGCCCCCGCTCCCGTTCCTCGCCGTACGGGACCGCGGGTCCCCCGGCCAGCCGTGCCCGCGCCCGGCAGGACTCACCGCGGACGCGTCTCCCCGCTCGGGCCCGGCCTGCGGACAGGCCCGGAATGGCGGCGCCGCCGCCCCGCGGAGCAGCTGCGGCCCAGAGCGGCCCCGGCCGGCCTCGCTCGGCCCATGGCGCGGCCCCGGCCCCCGCCCCGGCCCGGCCCCCGCGCCCCCGGCCCGGCCTGGCCCGGCGGGGCTCCCCGCGGGGGGACAGCGCCCCACGACTGCGGCCGGGGAGCCGCCGAGCCCCTCGCAGAGGGGGCGCTGAGCTGGGTGTTAAGGAGAAAGAAAACAAACAAACCATCTCTGGAGCATCTCTCTTATGAGAGACTGCGGGAGCTGAGCCTGTTCAGCCTGGAGAAGACTGGGAGGGGATTTCGTTAATGCGTAGATGTATCTCAGAGGTGGGTGCAAAGAAAGATGGTGCCAGACTCTTTTCAGTGGTGCTCAGTGACAAGACGAGGACCAATAGCCATAAACTGAAGCACATGAGGTTCCATTAACTGTGAGGAAGAACTTCTTTACATTGAGGGTGGCAGAGCACTGGGCCAGGCTGCACAGGGAAGTCATAGAGTCCCTCTCCGGAGACATTGAAAACCCACCCTGGATGTGTTCCTGTGTAACCAGCTCTAGGTAACCCTGTCTTGGCAGGGGGGTTGGTCTAGATGACTTCCAGAAGACCTCACCAACCCTAAGAGTTCTGTGATCCTTGTGAAAACAAAACCCAGCCGAACAAACACGAATCCCACACTGATGGGCCTCTCACATCTCAGAGAGGAGTTTAAACAACAAGACTAGAATGTGGAAATACAAAACTGTGAACAAATGGGAAGAATATCGAAATTTTAAGTGGGGGCCTGTGCCTTCCTCACCCAAGCACCAGCAGCTCACTCTGGCTCTGACAGGATCAGCTTAAGATATAACAGGAAGAGCAGTAAAAGGAAAACAAGGAACAAAAAATTGTTCTAAAACAATTGATTATCAGGACTGTAATCGTGATTCAGGAAGTGTCAGCTTCTTTTTACACGTCATCCCTTAGGTTTTAAAAGTAAAACATAGAGTTAATTCTCAGGGTTTGGAAAGACAGGATGAGCTAGTGCTGTAATTCAAAGATACAGTGTAGGACAAGACATTCATTGGCTAAAACAGGTGTGGGGGAAAACAAAGCTCTGGGTGTCTCCCCCACCCCATCTAGTCAGAGGCTAATCTTTATATTTACATGGATATATCATAAAGACTCAAATTCCCTCCAACAGACAGGCATGATTCTCAGTGAAGCCAGGAGGAGCAGTGTACACTTACATGAGATTTCTGCTTTAAGCTACCCATACTACAGCCCATGTGCACAATCACGTATTAGCACTCAGCCATGCGACAGCCACAGGATGCCGTTTTTCTGTTGTTACAGGCAAGGCTTTTCCATTCCCAATAGAATAATAGAATTATTTGGATTTGAAGTGACCTTAAATATCATGTAGTTTCAACCCCCGTGCCATGGGCAGGGACACCTTCGCCTACACACCCACCCAAACTGGCCTTGAACACTGCCGGGGATGGGGGATCCGCAGCTTCTCAGGGCCACCTGCGCCAGCGCCTCACCGCCCTCACAGTGAAGGATTTTTTACTAAAATGTAACGTTTAGTATCTAAGAAGAGGCACACCCAGGTAGGAGAAAATCAGCTTTGACTCCAAACGAGAAGCAGCACTACTGATAACCAGTTGTAGCCATGAGCAGCCCATCTCAAATCCTCAGGTGGCCATGCCGTGTCATCTCTACTGCTCACACAGCCCACAGCAGCACCCAGTGCCCCGCTCCGCACCACCCCCGGCTGCCCGGCCAGGGATCAGCGCTACACTCACCTAGATCGGAAACCCAGTGCCGATGCCGGCTCCCAGAGCCCTTGCAGCCCCATTCCCCGGGCCCGCTGCCCAAGCCTGAGGGCTCACCTGCTCTCCAGAGAAGACACACGCCTCCTCATCCTCCTCCTGAAAACGCTCAGGGCAGTAGACTGGCACAAAGGTCCACAGATCCATACACGTGGTTTTCTTCTGGAACAAAAAGACTGTGATACGCTTTTATAAAAATAGGTTTCGTCCACTTTTAGAAAACCTGACAATGCGTGTGCTGACAGCAGGTGATAACTGTGCTCACTGAAGTGGACGGGCAAATTACCACGGCCACAAGATTCAATGGCCTCGGCACCGCTGTTATCTCCACAGCGCGGCACGGAGCGCTCTCCCGTTACCTGGTCGGCAATTTGCCTGCGCCAAGGTCCCGGCCTGACCGCAGTCACAGCGGAAATCGCGGCTCCCCAACATCGCCGCTTCACCTCGGCTCCCACTCCTGAGATCGCGCCTGCCGGGATTCCCACTCACTACAGTTCCCGGCAGCCTTTGCTCTGCCGCCCTTCCCCTGGTGTGCGCCGCGGACTACGCTCCCCAGCAGGCCTTGCACCGCGCCGCCGCTGGCGGCAGAGGCGGCACGGGCCGCGGTGCGTTCTGGGACGGGGAGTCTGTGCGGTCGCGCGTCGTAGCGGCCCGCGCGGGAGGCGGCGCTCTGACCTGGCGGGTTCGCCCGGGCCGTGTCCCGCCGCTCCCGCCGCCGGCCCTGCTCGCCGGGAAGATGGCTGCCGTCCGCAGGGCCCGCAGGGACTCCCGCTGCGTGGTGCGCTTCTCCGACCGAGAACTCTGCTAAGTGCCCCTCGCGGGCAGGGAGGACACACGGACCAAGCGGGGGAGCAGAGCCCCCGGGACGGGACAGCGCCGCCCGCGCGTCGGCAGCATGGTGAGCGGGCCCGGGCGGCGGGGGCTCGGCTGCCGTGCAGGGACGGCCGGGCGGGAGCAGGACGAGGGGGGTGTGCGTGGGAGCGGCCCCCTGGCCGAATTGCTGGCAGGCTGCCCTGCCCTGCCCGCCCCCGGGCACGGGCGATGCATGTGGGAAACGTGCCGTGATCCCGCAGAGGGTTTTGATGAGTGGGGCTGCTTGGTTCTGGAGCGATCTAGCCCTCCGTAGGAACGCGTGAACAAAATCCCTGTGTCATTACAGGGGAGCGTGCCCTTCTTTCCCTTTCTTCCATCAAAAATGCGGTGGCATAAAGTCACTCAGTAATTTAAAGGACTCAATGGGCCAGGCACTCGAGCTGAGTTTGTCATTTAACATATCAGAAATACTCTTTGGTTCGGCATTGCTTTATTGACTGCGCCTCAATATGGATTCAAGTATCCATGATGAGAACTCGATCATTCAAAGTTAAACCATTTCTATCACACAGGACCTGTTAAAATGTCTCACCATGGTTATAAAAACTCTTGGTTTTGAACACTGTTATTTCTACCACATGTACAGAAAAATAGGGTGGCTTTCTCATTTTTTTTATAAAACCAAGAGGAATGTTAGCTGGCAGTCACTGTTTTGCTTTGCCGTGCTTGCTCCTCCCTGAGTTCTGTATGGTTCACACATAACACAGCCCTGTTCAACTGGTGACACTCAGCTTCCAGCTGTTTCTGATCTTGGTTTTATTTTGCTGAAACAGAGATGAGAATTATTAAAGGTCCTGACGTTACAGACAGTTTAGTGGGCGGTTAATGTACTCTGAGGAAATCAGCATGCAATTATTGATTGCAAGACAAAACTGAACTGTGCAAATAAACTAGTTCTGCATTTGGCAAATGGTCTCTAAAGCTTTGCAAGCAAATCAGAATTGAATCTACTCAGCTGACTTCATTTCTTATGAGTTGCTGTCTAAAGCAGGTGTTTACTTTTGCCATATTACCTTTTGGTGGTTTGATAGACTACTACTTTCCTCATGGAAAATTAACCAAGCCAATCAGCCAGTACACAGTATGATGTCTTCCTTTCAGTCAGGATGAAGTCACTGTTCCATGTGACAGCTGACTTGTATCAGGAGAAAGGCCAGCAGCACAACGATGAACTATCTAGATTTATCCCCTAAGTAGCTGTTAGAGCAGTGTTCTGTGAATTTTAGAAACTATAACACAAGTATTCTCAGAGTGGGGGCACGTTGTGAAGTGCTTTAGGTGTGATCTCATGAGCTGTCTGCTGGTGAAGGTCCTTGCTTCACAGTACCTGTGTTTACTCACTTGTCCCAGCAAAATCATAGGGTTTCAGCAGGTCATATAAACAGTGGAAGGTTGTTAATAGACATCAGTTTTCCAGCTCATTCCTATGCAGTAGTAATGAATTCACTCCTTTACCAGTAAGTTCAGAGGGCTGGCCATTTAGTAGGCTGCTACTACTGCCACAAGACACACCTTTGATATGAGAGATTGCAGATCACACATGCGTACAGTATAGGGAAGGTAATGACAACATTAATTGTAATCAATTTCATGATGGTTTTTGACAATTTTTAGACTGTAGGCCAGGTCTTCATAGTATTTTTGGTTTGAATTGAGAGCATATTTAAGTTTCAAAGAGCATTAAATGACATTTTGGATGCAGTTGGTCCACTACCATGTCTGACTGTGACTCAGAAATGAAGAAATAGAGCAGCTGAATGGAGAGGAGGGGTTGAAAATCAAGAGTTGAGCAGATTAGTGAAATATAAGGTTTTTGAATGAGGTAAACTTCATCCAGCTTCCTAACCTTCTAAGCAGTTTCAAAGCTTAAATCAGTTTGTTTACAGACTTCAGGAGTTAAAGGTTTTAATGGGCGTGGCTTTATGCACGAGAAGATAGTGTGTTGATTTAGTTCAGAAATTGCTAATTTCTGCATTTTGCAGATAAAGCCAGGCTTATTCTGCCCAGACTGGAGAGCTGCCTGGACATAATTCAGCTGCAAACCAGAAGACTTGCACTCTGCACAGACAGAATTAGGCCTTATTTCTGTCAGCCCACTGCCATAATAATGCCCTTACAGACACCCATTTCAGAGCTAGCTCATTCCTAGGCTGGCTCTGCTTGGCCAACAAAATATTCCTGGATGCTAATAATGTGGTAGGACTGTCACAACTCATAGGGCATTAACTGCCTGCAATTAAATTCTGGAATCAAAGCCCATTAAATTTCCAAGTTATTTACTTCTTGCTGAGATTTAATGCCACTACTGTTTTATAGTGTTCTGGCTCACCTGTTTCCTCTACTGGGAAATGAAAAATGTACGGAAATTAAAAATGAGAATGCAGAAGTAGATTGAATATCTGTTTATCTTCAGCCAATCAGCCATGTCTGTCAATTGTAAATGATAAATTATCTGAAACCTCAGTGAAAGCACTTTTAGAAATGACAAACCAGTATGTTTATGGTTGTTGGGGAATCTGAAGACATGTGCTAACTCCAGGGAGGTGCTTGTCACCAAGACAGAGAGATTAAAGGTTGCCTTCCCATCACGTTTGGTAGTCTGTAGTTTGATCTGAACTTCCAAGTGCTCTAAAAGTGGTATAAATTTTCTGAGTACGAGAATGCTTTGATTTCTGCACTTTGACTGTGCAGGAGGTAGAGATTTCTTTTTGAGAGCTTGGTAGAATCTCACTGACAGAATGTCACTTCAAGTCTCTGAGTACTGAGTACAATAGGAAGGAGTGGGAAATAAAACTTTTTTAAGTAGTTGTGATAATCTTAATGTTAGGTTTGCCTGCTTGTAATCTCACTTTGCATTATCTACTTGCAGAACTCTAGATGTGAATTTCAGTGCAGAATGGTAGAAAATCTGGTTTGCTTCAGCTGCAGGAAGAACCTTAAACAAATGTCTTAGTTGAGATTTTGAGGTGTTTTTTCCCCCTTACTGGTATCTTGCTATTGTCATTGTAGTGGCTTCTCATTAATGCTCAGAATTAGTGTTACTTTGTTTTAGTATAGACTCCATAAATCTTAATATATTTCACTATAATAATTTGCATATTTTTAAGTTTTTCTCTTAAACTAGCTAGCTTAACTTCCTATGTAGAGCCATGTTAGGTTTAGGCAAAGGTCTTATTTCAGGTTTTATTTGTTTAACCTGTCTCACAGCTGTACTGTAAATAAAGCCAACTGTCAAGCTCTCATGCTAGCTTTTTATTTTATTTTCCAGTACATTTCTTGTTTAGTTTCACATGTATATGTAAACTATCTGTTGTTAATTCAAAGCACTTTTGTGCTCTTGCAAATATTAAACAAATCAAAACTACTGGTTATCTTTACAATGAGAAGATAGTGATTAAATTTTAATTTGTTGGACAAAGGACATTATTTTTTAATACTGAAGCTTTTGCTCTGTGCTTTGACACAGACACAGTGTATTTAGTCAGGTATGCTGGTGTATTGCAGCATGGAAGGCTTCAAGTGATGCACAACTAATCTGTGTTGGATTAAAATGCAAAACCCATCTTCATTGAATATGAACTTCATTAATATGGAAGTACTCATGATCTCATTAGTTTTAAAATTAATTTTTATCATCAAAAGGGAAGTATGCTTAATTCTTTTTTTAATGTGTGTCCATGACAGTTGTTCTTTGTGAATGTGCTGTAGGGACTTATGCAGACCCTGTAATGAGATTTGACTGCTCTTTACTAGGCAGAAGCTGAAGAAGATTGTCACACTGATTTGGTAAGAACTGATGACAGTGAAAGATCTGGTGAAACAAATCTTCAGGTATGTCTCTCATGCTAGTGGGTTTTTACAAACATACTACTGCTTTGATTTAAACTGCATCACTTATCTTCATCTGTTTACCACACATTTGTTGATCTGACAAATGCTTAATCTTCCTGCCCCTCCAAAAGTGAGATAAACTTTGCATTGTGTTCCAAGTGTCAGATTCAGTCTTCAGCTATCTGTGTAGATGAAAAGAAAGCTTGTGACAGATCTGGAATTTATTCAAAGAGCTGTGGAACTTGGACAGCAATTTCTGTGATCAAATTCCAGTTTAACTTGTCACTTTCTACTGGACCAGAAAGCTGATAAAAGCAGTGTAGTAGAAAAGTGTGTTCTCCTACAAGACTAGATTTCTGTGTAGGTGCTCCCCAGGAGCTGTGCTGATTGCAAGAGACCTGTAAGGTGTAACTTCAAAGGTGCTCCAAAAAAGGCATGACAGGAATTGCAACTTGTATTATTTCACAGAGCATAGTCCATACTTTTTAAAAGAGAAAGAAGAAAGGTCTTACTTGTATATTATATAAATTGCCATCTTGAATGTTAGATAGCTTAGAATGCTTGTGTACAAAAACCTGGATTTTCTAAATTTTAATATTAAGAGCTAATTGATTTATTGCTTATGATAATTCTACATGAACAAGAACAAACATGATCACATCTGGAGAAAAGATCACATCACAGAAAAGATCACTTTTCTGTGGAATCTTAGGTCATAACCGTAGTACTAACAAGCACTTCTTGAAACATCAGTTTTTCTTCTGAGGTGAGCAGTCCAGAAAAAAGCACTTTTGTTATTGAAGGAGACTGAACAAGTACTTGTGCACTTTTTTGTTTTAATTTACCATAAAACAACTGCTGACTTTCTGTGCCTAAATTCACTGAAGCCATCAAGACTTGGAAAACATAGTTTTGAAATTCTTTTTTGTGTTTGTACTTTATAATTTCTCCTCAGAAGATATACTGTCTGAATATGTGATACTATGTAGAATTAATCATGTTTTTTAGGCAGAGCTCCAGATGTTCAGAGCTCAGTGGATGTTTGAGCTTTCCCCAGGTGTGAGTTCTAGTGGGTTGGAACCTCTGCCGTGCAGAGCATCATCAAGAGAACCTGGACTAAAATCTGTCGATGCGAGGGGAAAACAGGAGATAGCAAAAGAGGAAAAGGTACAGAAAAATATGCATAATATTAAGGTTCTATTTGTCTGTATTACTGTTCCACTTTTAACTTTTCTAAAAGCTAATGCTGAATTAAATCTGGAGAAACAACAGAGGTTATTATCTCGTTATCTCCATACTAATGTCTACATAATCCTACAGTGATTTTTCTTTATGCTTGCCTTGGTGTCACCTTCACAATCTGCTTTCTGAAAGACTGTATGTAAGGGGTGAGCAGCAGGAATACAGAGAGTTTGTTAATTGGGAATTTCAGTCATCTTATGTCTTGTAGCAAATGAGTATGTCTTCTCTATGGACTTATTTTGGTATCTCTGTCATAGGTACAGTAGGTAAGATCAAAAATAATTCTAAGTCAAGTGATGTTGCACTTGTATTTATGAGGAGTTAAAGAACTGCTCTGTGTAATTTATTGTGCAGGCAAAAGAACTTTTCCTGAAGGCAGTGGAAGAAGAACGAAATGGGGCCCTTTATGAAGGTAATATGAAAGTCTACAATGAACACCCTTATTGTAGAGAAATTTAACACCTGTGATTTATGGGCAAATCTTCATTGTGCCATTGAACCTAAACTATGGGCTAACAGTGGTTTGAGAGCTCCATCGTTCAGATAAGCAAACAAACATGCTATAGAAGGAACCATCATATCAGTTCTAAGGTTGAGGTAAAGTAAAAATGACATCAAGGAAGGAATTTCTTTCAGGCTATATAACAGTATCTTAGAATGCCTCTTCATGTGACTTCTGCAACTTGAAATTAGGATAATAATTAATCAAGGCAATAAACTAATTCCTGTGCTCACAGTTCTCATCATTCTGCTGTGAACAAATCTACTGCTTTAATGCTTTTTTGTTTGGTTGTGTGAGTGTTTTGGTCTTTTCTCTTTTTGGAGAGGGCTCTTTGGGTTTGGGGGGTTTTGTTTGGTTTTTTTTTTTTGTTTTTTTTTTTTTTTTTTTTTTTATTAACACAGCATGCTAAATAGCTTTTTCAAGAATTCTGGCAATGAACATTCAAATCTGGTAGTCTGAGGTTTGTCAGAAAATATTTAAGGTGCTTAGCTTGCTTACCTGCACTCTTGCTATCAGCACTAGTAAAAATGGAAATTCAAAGTCTTTTTTTCTTATATTTAGTTTTCAGAGTCTAGAGAGTAAGAAGACTGTTCTAACTTCCAAGTCCTGTAGGTCAGTAGTGGAGATACCAATTTTCTGGTTCTTTCACATGAGAAAGAAAGCAAAGCAGAATGTATGTGCCATCCTGCTCATCCACCAGAGGGCTTGGCCACTGTGTTTAAAGTGCAGGTGCAAAATAAGTTAAGATACAGAAATCTCAGAGAACTCTGGAAGCTCCTGAACTCAGCCACTTTCTGAATACAAAATTTTCACTTCACCATGGGAATTTTTCCTTCATTTTCAAGGGAGTTCTGTTTGTTGTTTCATATCTCATATTAACTGAGAGAAATATGAGGCCCCTGTAGTTAATAAAATCAATTGTCTCAATTTCTAATTTGTTACGTGTTTTTACAGGGCAAGATTACTTTAGGCTAAGATATGGTGGGTGTTTGGTAAAGGATGCACAGTAAAAAATAATGTCAGAACAAAAAACCTAAAACTAAAAAGCAGGAAAGAAATACTAATATCTAACAGTTCCAGTCACAGAAGTGTTTCAGACATCTGGATTGCATGAATGTGAATTCATCTTTTTCAATTGAATTTGATTCAAAACTCAGAGAAACTAAACTGAACTATTTCTACACATAGATCTATATGATCTAACTCCTTATTCTGAAAAAGTACATGAGGTTTTTAGTTTAGATCTATATGATATATGAGACCTTAGGGGCACAGTCCTATGCCAGACACAGATATATTACTGAGCACATGTTGGGACATCTGTTTTCAGACCAGGCTTTTATTTGCTGACCTGGCCCAGGTCACCAGAATCTAAACCTGCTTCTGAAATCTGCTGATTCCTGATGTTTGTGAGACAGTTATGTGCTGCAGCTTGTTCTTGCTTAAGTACAGCAGAGGCCTTGTCTGCAGGATGAAATGCTAAAGTTGAGACTGCTCTCTATTTAGCTGGCTCCTGGTATTTCCAATCCTTAACTGCCAGAGGATACTATTTGTCAGTCATGAACTCAAGGAAATAGGAACATTTACTAGTCCCAAACTCAAGTTTCTCAGACTCATCAGACAAATTCTGAGCTCCACACTGACTGATGTTCTATTTGAGTTTTGGTTTTAAGAGTCCAAGCTAAAGAAGAATTGCCCTCTGATCTTGGTATCACTATGTCAGAATACAAAGAAACATATACATGCATACATGATTTCACTACTAGTATTAAAATAGATTGAATGTGCATACATCAAATTAATTTAAATTAAGAAGGATTCACGTAGCTGACTCAGTAGGAAGACATTCTGCAGCTTAAATAAGTTTGTTGCCACAATGATGTTCTTGAACCTCTTTCTCTGGGAAATCTTTGCAAGTGCCAGGCACCAAACAACATCAGGAGTTCGTAATGTTCTAGTGTAAAATTTTCAACTCCATAGTTGAATTTGTGGTAATTAAGGTAAATCTGTAAAAACTGAGCTAACTCTTTATTCTGAAAAAGTACATGAGGTTTTTAGTTTTGAAAACAGGTCTTTAATGTTCCTGTCTTCTGTATTGAATTTAAACCTAGCAGTTTAGACTGAACAAGCTTGCATAGGCAAAGGCATTTTCCACATTTTTAGTGCTTTTAGGCGAAACTATCTCTCTGAAAATAGTCTTTGCTTTGATAAGCTAGTATGGACATTGGATATGTTTGAACATTAAACCTTTATTTTCAGCCATCAAGTTTTATCGTCTAGCCATGCAGCTTGTACCTGATATAGAGTTTAAGATCACCTATACACGGTCCCCAGATGGTGATGGAGTTGGAAAGAGGTGGTGAGTATGAAATTTTACTAATTAAGTGCATAGGAGTACTAAAACATGACATTTTTTTATCTGAAGGATATCAATATTCTGCTGTAATATGCAGTTGTAAGTCTCTCAGTATCTGGAAAACTCACCCTCACTTGAGTAGACTATATTTTCCAAAGGCAGTAACAAGCTTGTTTGGAGCTAGCTAATGTCAGGGCAAAGGATTACAAATAGTTATGGTGTTACTTAATAAAAAAAAGCATTAGTCACTATTTTGATTTTTGATTTCAGATTTAGGATGATATACAAATTTTCAGATGACAAAAAGATTAATTAGTTAAAGCTTCATACTAATAAAATAGGCATCTTAATTAAGCAAAGGAATAATCTGTTCTGTGCCAACACAGCCAAACAAGAGCATTTTCAGTAGAGCAATAGGTTTAGAAGCTCAGAGATGGCAATCTGAGTAGTCTAGTCTTTGTGCAGTGACTTAAGGCTGCCCTAACTTGAGCTCAAGACTCGTGTTTAAGGGGGCCACAACTTCTGTTCCAGCCCCTGCAGCCTAACGTAGACAAGCTTATGGAACAGCTTCCCAAATTCTTGCTTACTCATAGCAGCTCTTGGTGCTCCTGATAGCTGCATCAAAAAATCCAGAGTTTTAACATGGAGAATGAAAAAGGAAAGCACAACTGTGTCACTGTCGTATTACTTGCTCAGTCTTGTTGCCCCAGGACGTACAGCTCCAATGCAGCTGTTGACTTAATATAAAAGAGTGCAGGATGAGCTAAGTGCTTTATTTCCATCCATTAGTTTCATATCTGAATGTGTTGCTGGCATGAAATCTTTGCTGTGCATTTGTGCACTAGGAAAACTACTGGATCATGTGCTATAGTCATGTAAAAACCTTGGTTTTTATAGGATTATTTTCTTACTTTAGCATCATTTTCTCTACTCTGTTAAGACTCTCTGACCTGAAGTTGAGCAGGAGCGGTCCTTCTGGAGGGTGGGAAGGCTCTGCAGAGAGATCTGGATATTCTTGATCAATGAGCCAAGGCCAATTGTGTGAATTTCAGCAAGGCCAAGTACTGGATCCTGTGCTTGGGTCACAACAACCCCATGCAGAGCTACAAGCTGGGGACAGAGTAGCTGGAAAGCTGCCTCTTGGAAAAGGACCATGGGGTCCTGCTTGATAGGACAGTGGCTGAACATGAGCCAGTGTGTGTGCCCAGGTGGCCAGGAAGGCTCATACATCCTGGCCTGTATCAGCAAGAGTGTGGCCAGCAGGAGCAGGGCAGGGATTGTCCCCCTGTACTCAGCACTGCTGGGGCCACACCTCCAGGGCTGGGTCCAGTTCTGGGCCCCTCACTGTGAGCAAGACATTGAGGGGCTGGAGTGAGTCCAGGGAAGGGCAGTGGAGCTGGTGAAGGGTCTGGAGCACAAGGGCTGTGAGGAGCAGCTGAGGGAGCTGGGGGTGTTTAGCCTGGAGAAAAGGAGGCTCAGGGGAGATCTTACTGTTTTCTACAACCACCTGAAAGGAGTTCGTATTGACATAGGGGTTGGTCTCTTCTCCCAAATAACAAGCGACAGGACAAGAAGAAATGGCCTCAGGGTGTGCTTTGGAGTGAATATTGGGAAAAAGTCTTCACAGAAAGGGTTGTCAAGTGCTTGAGCAGAGTGCCCAGAAAGAGGTTGAGTCACCATGCCTGGAGGTATTTAAAAGATGTGACGTGGCAGTTAGGGACATGGTTTAGTGCCGGGTGAATGGTTGGTCCTGATGATCTCAGAGGTCTTTTCCAACCTAAATGATTCTACAATTCTGTAGATTTTTATTTAATTTTTTAAATGTTGCTGTACTGTTCCAAGCAGTATGTGGCAGTGAGGGAAAAACAACCCTTAGTCTCAACTGTTACTCTGCTCTTTAAAAGCAGTACTTGTAGAGATGTATTTCTTGGGAGAGATTTTAGTTTGTGCTTTCCAAATTACTGTTGTAGGTGTTTCATACAGTCTTGATGAGAAAAAACAGATTACACAATTAGATTTGAAAAACCAGTTTACAGTGTGGCCTGTAGGTACTGGGACTGACCATCATATTCATCAAAATAAAGGAAAGTATGTTCAGTGCAACTTCTTACTGTTGTCTTAGGACAGGCCCAAACATAATTGTCTTCTCTACGATGCTTCAAAACCCATTGGTAGGTCTACCAGTTGCTTGCTTATATTCTCAACTCATTTTAGTAGCTTATTTAGAGTAGAATTGAACAGTATTAAAAAGTGACTGTAAGATTTCTTAATTAGCCAGTATACCAAGTCAGGGAACATAAGGTAGTTTGTGATGTGCTCAAGGAGTTTTGTGTCGTTTCTGGTTATTTGGGACAAGCAAGCAGGCAGCTATTAAAAGATCATATTGTGATATACAACTTAAATTTAGATTTCTTTTATTAATGTGGTAATGTTCTTTTATCACTTAGTAATCCTTCAAATTTACTGATGAGTAGCAAGCTTGTTGTTTATGTTCTGCTATCTTGTTCTGGCTCCTGAAATTTATTATTTCTGCCTGTTTACAGAATAGGTACAAAAGTAGTTTTCCTTCATTACTGTTGAATACACCCACCAAGGATCACTCTTTAGTGAATAGCACTAGTGTGGAAAATAATCCTTAATTGTTTCCAATATCTTACATCATGAGAAGGATTACAAAATACAACTTTCATTTAACGACACTTTATTTCCTGCATATGCCATATCTTAGACAAAGTAAAAGATAAGATTTTTCTTTTCATGAGGTCAAGAAATTCTTCAGTAACTTCAATAAAAAAGTGAAATACAAAACAAAAAACTGGGATGGGAATTTAATGAAAAAGCCGCAGTTGTTACTCTCAGAGGCATTCCAGCAATGTCTTAATGACTTTAATCATATTTCAGTAGTTGTTTTATTGTATGATGAAATGTGATTGCTTTAAAAATGTACAGGAAACAACTCTATTGAATGGGAGTATGGCAGTGGATTGATGTCAAGATGAGGGCATCTGTTGGTATGTTTTGTCCAATATTACAGTGTTGGCATTGCCCCTTTTCTAGTGTTGAGGATAGCAAAGAGGATGACAAAATGGCAGATCTCCTGACAGATTTCCAGCAGCAGTTAACTCTTCAGGAATCTTCAGTCAAACTTTGTCAGCCTGAAGTTTATGTCAGCCAGACCCACATCTCAGGTAAGAGTTAAGATACTCTGTAAGAATTGAGAGGCAGAATTTATATTGATGTTTCACTTCATTAAAACATTTCTCTCCTTCATTCTCACCTTTGAAGAAGCGCATACATTATCTCTTTATTTACTTCTGTAGCTAGATACAAAGGAGAAAACATTATCAGCTAGGTAAACAAATGTTGTTCTCATCAAGATCTTGTCTTTATCACACAAGCTTTTTCCAAGTAGTATTTCTGAGTAGGATTTTCAGGATCAGAGGCATACTTAAAAGTAGCAACTTCTAGGAATGGACTTGCTGAAGTAAGTGTATTCCAGTTTTCCTTCCTGTTCTTTTAGTTTGGTTTGCAAGTACAGTTATTACTACAATTTTTAAGTGTGAGTAAGAAACAATTGTTTTGTAGACTATGCATCTTTACATTTCTTGATTTCATCTGATTCTGTATGAGATTTTTGCAACAAGTATGTTTTCACGGTCAGAAAGACTAAATAACAAAGCTAGAAAGTCTTTTGAAGGTTAATGACTTTCAGTGCTTCAGTTCTAGGACAGTTATCCTGAGACTTCCTTATGAGATCTAAATTGTAGAGAGTGTATATGAGCTATGATCTCTCTTAAAAACAGATGGCTTGGTTCTGCATCCTAAATTATCAGTTGCACTTTGAAATCTTGGCCTGATCTCCTTTGATCTGGTCAAAGGAAAGAAAATAGAGTAAGTGAAGTAAATCCAAACATAAAGAAAACAGGGTTTTAAACATTATTTTATTTTAATAACTGGTGCGTTGTACACTTGGGAAAATGTATTTTCTTTTTTTACCAGTCAAGACAAGATGTTGCAGACATTACTCTAAAATTATATCAGGAGATGTGTCTTTGAGCAGCAATGTTGGTCTTTTTGGATTTATATTCTACTTTCCAGCTAGTCCTGTGTTATAGTATCTTTTTTACTGACTTCTTTATAGCAGAAAGAAAACTTTTTAAAATCACATCACCTTCAGAAGTTTAGCTGAAAAGGATCAAAAGGATCCTTTATAGACTTCATATCTAATATATAGTAACCTTTTAAGTTAATTTTTTTTGTTCTCTGGCATTGGGCTACAATGTGAAAAGTAGGATTTTTAATGGAAAAGTCCAAAGTCAAACCTGGAATTATAAATAACCTGTTGATTTACAGGTTGCATCTAACAAGGATTTCTTTTCTCTCTTTAGCGTTGCCTATGGAAGTACTAATGTACATTTTCCGATGGGTTGTTTCAAGTGACTTGGATCTGAGATCATTGGAGCAATTATCTCTTGTTTGTCGAGGATTTTACATTTGTGCCAGGTATTGTAGATAATTTATCTAGAGTGAAACTTCTTTTTTTGCACTAGTATATCCTGCTTTTCCTTCCCATGAACATTTTCATGTTAAGCTCCTCACAGTGCTAATCAGTTTCTCAATACATTACTAATTGTGAGATAGATTACTTTACTGTAATAAAAATCTAGCAGAAAGTATTACTTGTTCTACTTTGTTTGTAAATTAGTGTTTAACGTCTCCAGAATATTGTTGTCATGCTCATATAGCCACTCAGAGACGTGCCAGGGGTGCTGCAGTGTTGTGGTTCTGTACTTGGATGAAAATGACATTCTGTTCCTCAGTTTCACTGGGAAGAGGAAAAAAGCTTTCAAACACTCCAGGATGAAGTAAATTAGTCAAGGGTTTTAAATTATGAGCTATTTTCGTTCAAGAAATTTTGCATCCAAACTAATTAAGAGAGCGTTACTTTGATATATAAAAGCTAAACAGGGTTTGTAGGGAAGTTATGGGGTTTCCTTTTTTCTTGTTTTCACTAGAGATCCTGAAATCTGGCATCAAGTCTGTTTGAAAATATGGGGCAGGAGCTGCAATAAACTTCTTCCATATGCGTCTTGGAGGGACATGTTTCTGGAGAGGCCTCGCGTTCGATTTGATGGTAAGCTGTACTTTTGGAAATAGTTGTAACTGTGTGACAGAAACAGTCAGGTGGGTTTGATGTTTGTGATGTTGTTAGACCTAATCTGAGTTTGTGCATTTCAATTTGTCGAGTATCTGCAGATAGAAGGGAAAGGTGCAAGGGATGAAAATAAAAACCTCCATGTATTTAAGTAACAAAACCATACTCAAAAGTTTTAGATTATTGGCTTTTTCATCATAAATATTTTACATTCTTAGTTTTTGTTCATGTATCTTCCTTTTCTGTAGGTGTATATATCAGCAAGACAAAATACATACGTCAAGGAGAACAGTCTCTTGATGGTTTCTACAGAGCATGGCACCAAGTGGAATATTACAGGTAGAGCAGTAGTACAATGAGTGAGTGAAATGTTTCTCTCTTTTAAGTTCTTTAAATCCACCCCTGGCTATCACAGACCATAATCATTCTGGAAAACTGAATGAGACTACAGTGTGTAAAGCAATGTGTATTTTTTGAGAATAGGTTTTAGAAATAGAATCTAATAATAGATTCAATAATAGAATTCCATGATAATTAGAAATGAGCTTAGAAACATGATTCATGCTCACGTAAACCATGTGGTGAAAGCTTGAAGGCTTATAACAATTAATACTGACCTACAGATTTCTTTCCCTGAACAACTTTTGCTTTACAAGTCTGATACAACCCATGACACAATTTAGCAAACAGAATACATGTGATTATACAAGAGCAGTCATTTAGCATATGTGTAATCAATTGTAAAAATCAAGAGGCTGAATTTTCTCATCTTGCTGTAAATGCCTTGCCATTTGTTTCCTTAGCTTGTTTTTTTCCTGTTGTTCATCTTGCTGCTCCCAGCATTTATTGTTTCATTCTGCTGTTTCTTCTGAGGCTGGAAACTGCTCATAGAAACCATTGAACCTGATGGCTATTGCTGTAGTCTCAAACATTTTTACAGTACTTGAGTAAAAATCAATCAAGTTCCAGAACCTGAAAAAGTCCATAGGACATTACTAATTTTGTACTGATACTGCAATTGGGATTTTGTTGCATTGGTCTCAGTGGACAGGAATGGAGAAACTTGAGGTCAGTTTTGATGCCAGAGTAGCCACTTTGCTTTGGTAGAGGTGACAAAACTTCATAACTCTTCATAACTCCCTCTTTCAATATTCATAACTCTATTTTGATTTCTGATCTCCTTTGTTTTCTGTTACGTGTGAAGAAATGTGTTTTGAAATCCTATTACCAATTAAGTTCTAAATCCTTCCGGGTAACATCCTGTGATTTTAAAAGCAAACAAACAGAAAAAAAAAAAAAACCAAAACAGGAAAGGAATGTATTTTCTAGGTTTGCATTGAGTAATTATGTTTTTGCAGGTATTTGAGATTCCTTCCAGATGGTCAAGTTATGATGCTAACAACTCCTGAAGATCCTCAATCTATAGTTCCTCGCTTACGGACTAAAAACACAAGGTTATTGAAATAAAGTATTTGGCTCTGCAGTTTTAATTTTGCTTTTACCTAGCAATTTCTATTTAGCAATTTCTATTTTGTCTAAGCTTCTATATCCTGGCTTAGCAAAACAATGTTATTTATATTGTGTTATAGATGTTTATAATTCTCTTCTAAGAGCTACAAAAAATTTTGATCCTTATGCAAAGTTATCTTTCATTTTAGGGTCCTCATATTGTAATTAGATTTCCTTTGTCATTATGTGATTTGAAATTTTTAAGGCAAGTAGATGGAACAATCCTTTTAAAGACACTATTTCATTACTGCCTGCCTTCTCACACTTCCTTAACAGAATGAAAGTGAAGATTTCAGTGGGATATATTGCAATTAGTACTTTTTGATATTTGGATATAAAAACATAGAAAATCATTTGCAACTTCAAAACAGGTTTGAGCCATTCACCAGAAATCTGTAAATATTTAGCAGTAGGCCAGGTAGAACTAACTAACTTATATTTACTGTCCTGTTTGGGAAAATTAGAAGCAAGTTTCCAAAATGTTTTCACCATTTAATATCATTGATTAGGCTTTACTGAATGGAAATAAGAAATAGTTTGTATCATCATGCTATATAGTGAGTCATTGTTTCATGGCTGATACTTTTATTATAAGAACATCACACTTTTGAGAGACAGAATATTTTTATGTCCTTGACGTTATCCTCCTTTTTAACTTTCCAGAACGGATGCAATCTTGCTTGGCCATTATCGCCTTTCCCAGGAAACAGACAATCAAACCAAAGTATTTGCTGTAATAATGAAGAAAAAGGAAGAGGTAGGTAGAAAAATAGAATAGAGGAGAAATAGATTTACAAGATTTTACTCAGACTGAGTGTTTTAAGGGACCCAAAGATTTGCCTTACACAATAATTTAATATTATTATTAATATACACAATATAATTAAATTATAAATAATTTAATTAAAAAATTAAATTATTTATAAACTGTTTAAAAATAAAATACAAATAAATAAGCATGGTGATGTCACTTACCTTTGTCCCCAAATCTGTAATAATTTATTACGGAAATAAATACCTGGTTCAAATTGAAACAGCTGTTCTCCCCCTTAGTTTCCATATATGGTGGTATTAGGTGTCAGCATTGTTAACGGGAAAGAAGGATGAACAGGTCATTTTCTGAGAACAGATTTGACTGTGTGCAGTTATGTTCCACAACATTTAGTGAAACTATATAAGCAGTATTAGTTGAACTCTGAATTATTTGATCAACTTACTTAAAAATTCTTCTGATGACCAAAGTGCTAGTCAAGAGAAACTTTTGAAGAGTAAGAAGTGTTACAGTGACTATGCACAGTTGGGTGGTGTCCTGCATGCTTCTTTTGCTTTCTGTGAAGACTTCTTCCATCATTAACATACACATTTATGTATTTTGAAGGAACAGTAGTACTTGTTTATAAGTATGAGAGTTTTAGCAATCTGGTCCTACAGTTACTTAGGATAAATAGTTGCACAATGTGTTCTTTGTAGGTCATGAAACTTCTTATTTCTCTGTACAGAAACCAGTTGATTACCACAAATACAGGTATTTCCGCCGAGTTCCTGCTCAAGAAACGGATCACAGTTTCCATGTAGGACTACAGTTGTGCTCCAGTGGGCGCCAGAGATTCAACAAACTTGTGTGGATACATCATTCTTGTCACATCACTTGCAGGTGAGTAAATGGAGAACAAGAGCAAAGAAAGATATTAAACTGTAGAATTAAAGGTGGCATTAATTTGTCCAGTACTAAGTACAGAAAATGTAGAGTCTGAGACTTTGGTGACTTTAACAAAATGTAGTGAAAACAGTAACTGGTCCTGATTTGAAATACGTAACGAACTTTTATGTAAAGAAATCCCAAGATTTCAGTAACCTGTTTTAATGATAATAGGAAGTTTCCTAAGTAGTGTAACTATAGCTTTTTAGATTTTTAAAGGATTTATGCAGAGTGTTTGATTGCAGAACTCAATCAGGGTTGAATGACTTAATGTGGTGTTAGTGATGGGGTATGGAAAGTGCGTATTCATTAAGATAAATATCTTTTCCACTGTGGATGTGCAGACTAAAGATGTCTGTACTTTTCATGTGAGAATTCTAATGTTACTAACTATATAATTCAGCAGTGCAGAATATGGGCATGTGACCAGCCCCTCTGATCCATGACCACTGTTCTTGCACCTGACACTTCAAATTACTGGCAAGTTGGCTTTCCAGATGTTTGATGTTGGCAGTTAGGGTGGATTTAGTCCTTGTCTTCCAGTGTTCTTAATATTCAGTGTTTTTATAGAAACATAGCTATTGAGCTGTGAGAATATAAAATGCAGGAAATAAACTACTTGGGGGTTGGGAGTATAGGTAACTTCCATAAACAGAAAAATTGCTTTTGTAAAATCTAGTGTTGTCCTACCTGATTTATACTGCAGACATTCTTTTCAGAATGAAGTTTCTGTACTGCTCAGGTCTTGGAGCTCATAATAAGAGTGGAAAGAAAAAGTGGTTTCTTAGGTATGAATGTGGAAGTGGATTCTGTATAGTGTTACTCAGCTAAAATTCAAATGCTTTCAGAACAAGGCATTACAAAAGACACTTTATTCCAACTGTAGTTTGATGCACACACTGTACTATGGAACATAGGGACTCAAACAGCAACTTGTGTCTCATTTAACTTTTACAATGCTCTTTGCAGATCAACTGGTGAGACAGCTGTTACTACTTTCGACATTGACAAAATGTACACCCCTTTGTTCTTTGCACGAGTGAAGAGTTTTACTGCATATTCAGAAAAGCCGCTCTAAGAAACACCTTCTCCTCTCACAACTTTTGCATGAGTAAAAGGTTGTAGCTAATAAGCACTTAAGTTATAAATGTGTATATATTTGGAGCATTTTAAAATTCTGGGAAATTTCTTGAAGGCAGTATGTTGTATTTGATTGTGAATTGCTGGGATTTTGTTTTGAGATTTTGTTTTGAGTTTTGTTTTGAGAAGCTTATGAGTGTTAAACACCTTTTATCTGTGATAAGAATTTGATAAACAAAGTTTTGTTTTGTTGTGTTGGGTTTTTTTAAAAAAAAATTTTAAATCAGTTTGCTTAAAATGTGAATCTTCATCTGCCTAGACACTGATTCGTTTAAAAGGAATCAATAGGAGAATCTCACTCTTCATGGGACAGTGTGTATGGTCTCTGCTGAAGACTTGAAATGTGAAAAGGGAAAAAGTTGTCATCTGTTAAACTCTGTGACTTAAAAGAACTTCAAATAAATGTTTTCTTTAAATTAAACTTATTTTGTTTGCCTTTAAGATCTGGCATTTTGTTGACATCAACCTTATCGAAAAACCGTCAACGGCGAGGAAGCACAAAATATAAAATTTAACTGCAGAGGTACATTCCCACCAAGGCAGTTTGTCATCAGTGTAATTTGATCTTGGTAGGGGTTCAGTGGAGCCTGCCTTCTCCACGGGATGTGTGTGGAGGGGAGAGGGATGCAGGCAGTGAGTTGTTCCCTTGTACTGTAGGATGAGTTTGCAGGTTCGTGGCCCTGCTTGGGCAGTGTCACAGGGCAGGGGTGAAATGGTGGTGTGTACTGCTTGTGCACTGGCCTGGTGTGAATGCACAGGTAAGCAGGGCTCACTTGGACATGATTGTCACCTGCTACAACCCATCATCTAACCTTGCCACACATGCTGTAAACCCTTTGAGCATTTGTTTTACTAAATAAATTTTGAGGCTGCTGTAGATGTTCAGGTGCTGTGTACTGCTAATCATGAAGTGTTCCTTGAGGTCTGGTACAGGTACTGTACGCTGCTTCTCCTGCATTTATCGCTTGGGGGTGTAGTGCAGACATTGTAATGCTGCTTATTATGTGTGTATCTTTGATCCTGGAAGAACTGAAGCTTTTTACTGTAGTTTTTTTTTAAGCCATTTTGCATAATTTACCTTTGACCGTCTTGTTTCAAAATACTGACCTGGACTTCAGGACTAAAATATGGAAGCTGTGGAAAGAACTATACTTGTTTTATAATTTATAAACTGTATCTTTGCAAGGAGCTACATGATTAAAAAATACATCAATAAATTATGATTTTGAACATGCAATCCCTTGCAATTTCTTATTTTCCCAATAAATTCTTATTGTCCTACAGTTAATGGTGATTAGTTATGAGCTACCGTGCAAAAACTACATGCCAGGTAACATTGACAGGTAGAATTAACCTCTTAATGACTTTTTATTACACTGCTTACAGATTATATGAGAAAAGTGGAGAAGTTTTCAGGTACATGAGTTCTCAATAAGGATGTGTATATCTCAAAAGTTGATGATGATTCTAGCTACTGTAATAAGGCTCTGCCTACAAAACTTTGGTCTTCGTCCCTAGACTGCTGTTTCACTTACCACTTCATAAACAGAATGTTTAATAAAGAGTCTATTGTGTTCTCTTTGCTCAATGGAAAAGCAACTGCTTAGAATATCTGCTTGAGGTTCTGAAATATTGCAAAGTTTGTAAACAGGAAAATCTATTACCTACACTTTTTGTTGAGGGTGAAAGGTAAAGGTCTGATTCTGCCTGCTGAGAAATGTCAAAGTTTTGCCAAAAGAGTCAGATGGTGATAGTGATTATTAGTTTAGGTACAGCCTTGTCCAGTAAGTTGGATGTAATAGAGGAGCCTTTTAACTCAGAACTCTTTTCATACCAAGACTTAGTTGCTTCTTCTGACCTTTTGTTTTTCCTTGCTTTGGCCATGTATTAGTCCGAGCATAAGGAAAAGATAGCTAGTTACAAATAGAGATGTTGATTCAACAGAAGTCTCAAGCAATGATTATTTTGAGATTTTATGAATTTCACCAAGAAAATTATCTGAGCCTTCTATCTCTGAGACTGAGATGTGATGAATATGCTTGCAATAAGCAATTTAAGAGTCAAGTTAGTTTTGTATTTTGAAATGGTTAATGAGCAGATCCTATTACTGTTTGTTCTTGTGCAGCTATTAAAATAGCACCTGCTTCAGCAAAGAATTGGTGACTAGTTGCTTTTCCTTCATTCTGTATAGTGTTTTTCAGTAGTTCAGGGCTCTAATTACTAGAGGCTCTGTGTTTTTATAATTTAGTTTTATTGTGCTTATAATTATCATATAATGACATTAGTTGGTATAACTCGTTTACTGCTATGAAATTGTTCTTTACTAATTGTATTAGTAACTTGATAAAAGAATAAGGTGTGCACCTATACAGTCGTTTTTCCCAAGAGTTTACTGAAGACGTTGAGACAAGTTAACTTACAAAAATCAAAGGGAGACTACAAAAGGTGACAGAAACATCATTCTTGGAGCTGTAGATCTCTTGTATACATTGAATTAAAGACAGCAGGGTGCACTGTTTCATGTAGAGAAGATGCTCAGGTGATCAAGTGTTAAACTGATTTGTCTCAGTCTGATTGGAGATTAGCATCAGTTAAACTTTCTGTGTAAAGAGACTCTGTAATTCAGTGCCCTGAGCAAGGGACCAGCAAGTAGACATTGTCCAGCTGCTAGTTCAGCTCCTGAGTCACTCAATAGCCCTGAGCCAAGCTGGTCAGGATATAAAAAACGTGTGGTGCTTACATGAGGTTCTTAAATGGAAGAGAACAATAGAATCTGTTTTGCTTGTTTTTTTGGTTTTTTTTTTTTTTAAATTCAGAATTCCCTTGGAATGTGTGCCAGGGTATTTGGAAACTTGTGTTGGCTTTAAAATGCCTGAAGTACTGAGGTGCATCACCATTTTTTCTATGGTCCAATACGAGAAAAACATAAAAGCTGCCATACATTTGTGAAATTTGGATTTCAGAAATTAGTGTTACCTATGCTACTTCGTATTGCTAACACCTGTAGAGAAATCAAAGATTTCCACTTAATTGTTGCTCAGTCTGGATTCAAGCTTTGTCCTTTATGCTAAGACTAGCAGCTTGCTTATTAAAATAATTTGTATAATTTTTTGCTTAAAAGGAACAGTCAATACCTTTGCCTTGCCTCTGGCCTGTTCAGAGTCTAGTTCCTGAGTCTTTAAAATAACTGTTAGAGCCAGAAGTCCTACCTAAAACTGACTGAAACAAAGGATTGGGAAGAGAAAGAAGACTCTTATCCAATGGACCTTCTGAGGATATATAAAAGTGGCATTCTCTTTTAGCTAGGACTGCTTTCAGCTCTGGTAGTGTAGCCCATGTGAAAGGTGCACCATGCTGGTGTGTACCTATCATTCAAGGCAGAAAAAGACATGTGTTAACTTTACAGTACAGAGCAACTCCATGGAACACATGTTCAGAGTATGAATAAGAAAAAAATCATGGGGCATGACTGCTTCTGAAGACAACATTCCTGCATCTTTGGGGATTGGCATCCTTCCTTGGCAACTGCAAGTTTTTTGACATCTTTTGAAGATACTTGTAGGATGTTTATTAATTTAGCCTCAGAATGCTCTATGAGGAACAGCTGGATATGATGCAGAGGTAAGGAAACTAGGACTTTTAAATCCTGCCAAATTAAATACTTCTTTAATGTGAAAAGCCAAGATGAGTAGACATTTTTTCCACTCATTTTATTTCTGAAGGAATTAATTTCCCCTTTCATACAAGCACCGTGACCCCTGCATTTACATACTAAATTTATGCACTAAGTAAACAACTTTTAATTAATTCTACTTCCATGAGGGTAAGAGATTGCTGAAGTTGCTAAAACAAATTTTCTGCCAGATTTAGTTTGCAAACTTTTTTTTTTTTTGGCAAAGGAATTTGCCAGCTTGATTTTTTTCCTCTTTTTAAATTTAATTTCTGAGGTAGTGCTGCCCCTGCAGCTTGTTGCAGCTTAGTAGCAAACAAGAGCTTTGGATGCAGCTTCCTGTGTTTCCCGGGGCAGTGCACACTGTTGCTGTAGTGCCGTGAGGTGGCTTGCCACAGTGTGAAGCTTTTCTTTCTACTTCATAAACTAAGTATATTTATTTTCCCCTACAACTTAAATTTTGGGAACATTCCAGGAAAAATAGAGGAAATGGACCAAGCAATCGGTACACATTACATTTAGCCTGGCAAGCCTTCATCTCCTGATGTTTCTGCACTAGGAAGACATTCACAATAACACAGCTGAATGGGAATAAACAGAAAGGCCAGTTCTTGGGAGGGATTTTAATTATCTGAATCACAGAATCATGGCTCCCAAATGGGATCTGAGGCAGCCAATATGAACAGTTATATGATGAAGGATGATGCACTGAAACGAAGTGCCACTTGGAGGAGAGTGTACATTCCCAAAGCAGGAGTCATCATTTCAGTCCCTGCCCTGCTTTGAACATTTCTGTCCAGTTTAAGTTTGCTGGGGCAAGGTTGGTGGCCCCAGCCAGGGCCAAACAGACATGCTTTGGGGGTTTTGGACATCCTGCCCTGCAGTATGTGCAAGTAATCTATTTGTTCTAGAACAGCTTTAATAAGGAATAACAAATACCTCCCCAGAAACCCTGTAAAACTGGTAAACATGGATATGAACGGGGTGCCTCGGTGAGAGCAGAGGTAAACCCATGAGCTGAAGATGTGTATCTCCACCAAAGTTTGATGTTGCATCACCTGCTGTCTTTGGGGAGCAAAAAGGAGCAATCCTTGCTCATATTTTTAAGAGGATACTGTAGGGGTTTCTTACTGCAAGGAGTGTTCAGGCAGCTTCTAGTACTTCACACTTGAGTTTATTAACCTGGGATGGCCAGTTAAGATATTTTATAGGGGCATTACATTTTATTGGCTCTCAGTTGCATATTTCTAGGAAAAAAACCTACAATTTTTTTTTCTCCTTTTTCCCTAGAACCCATTTTAGGTTGCCTCCTGACTCAGTGTTCACATGAAGAGCTGACTTTTGCTTTCAAGACAACTTGAGGAGCAGGCATCTCAGGGTTGGGGAATAGGATTCAGTGGCTTAGTGTAGAGTAAAATACACATATGTCTTCATAGAAAGGATTTATATGAAAAATGTGTATGAAAGTAATACAGTTATTATCTGTAATAGTAGGTTATTATTACAGTTATCATTAAGAGTATATCAGGGGCTTTAGGGGTTTTTTACTAGCTGATTTATCCAAATGGGTATGACCTTCCCACAGCTCACTGATTTTTTTGGGGAGTAGAGGGGATACCCAAGGAAAATATTGCTCCTGTTTTACAAACTTCATTAAGACCTTTGAGGTTCAGAGTACTTTTCACAACTTCTGTACTTTGAATCAATGCAAAGGTCTTCAATTTCTTTTGGACAATTTGGCATCTGCCTTAAATGACAAACATGAATATCGTGGGTTAGATCTGTTCTCCTTGTAAATTTAATCATAAAAATATTTAGAAAGAAAATACTGAGTACCCTTACACTTGCCTTGAGTACACATACTAGTAATTGACAGTGTCTAGACAGATGGTGATCTGGCAAGTAAGGTCTGAGAAAAATAAACTTACAGATATTAAAGTCAGCCACATTTCCCAGTGGTAATAGAGGGAGAAGACTGTGGGGGGCTAACACAGTTGCCAGCAACTTTGTTTGAAACCTACTCCCTCTTTAAAAAGTGTGCCTTTTTAAACATTTCATGTAACAGCTCACCAAAGTCTGTAGAACCTGAAAAACTACCACAAAAAGTAGTCTAATGACAAGATGAATATTTGTCTGGGTGTGTGCAACACAGCGAATCAAGTTTTTCTTCTTTCTTCTTGAAGGACTCAGAGTCTTTTATGAAACCATAATCATATAGTCTATTGTCAGCATGTCATTACTAATGTCCACAGGAATTTTAAAAAATAACAATGAGGCACATTGTTATCAACTGGTGATCACCGCGCTGCAGCACAGCAGCATTCCTGATCCTCTTGTCTTAAAATTGCAGTTCAGCTTCTAATCAAGCTCTTGCTATAGAAAAATTGTAACCTAAACCAAGTTTAAACTTATGGCACCTGAACAGAGAAGAGGTTATGCCAGGTTTCCAGTAAGCCTAAGTTAAAGTTTCCCAAAAGACCCAACAGAACCAGCCACTCTGCCCCCAGCCTGTAGCTCTGCACAGGGTGGTTGTGACCCCAGTGCAGGACCCAGCACTTGGCCTTGTT